GCTAGTACACAAAAGAAATTAAGTTGATGGTTGTGGTATATCATCCCTCTCCATAAGTATGCTCTCCATGAGATGAACGTACCTTGTGCTCCAATTACTTTGTGAAAAGAACCAAACACTTTCTTTATTGATTGATCAAAAGATTACAATTGGATCTGCATCAAACCACAAAATGACTCGTGCCTTATCTAAGGTTTACTGAACCTAGACCCAACAACAAAACAGATAAAAAGACTCTGAAAGCTAGCAAAGAGGGTCCTATTTATAGAAACATAGGCCCGTTACAACTTACAAACAACTATTACCAATCACCTCAGCCTTCTCTATGTCCAACTCATTCTTCTCAGCTTCCTTACTCTTCTTCTCATGAATCAGTATCTCAAGAGCGTCCATACATCCACCATAAGAACAATAAGTTTTTGAAGATCGTGCAGTCTTGAAAAAGTGCGGGTATTTGCAACGTAAACCACATGTCTCACAAACCGGTCGGGAGTTACCACTGTTTGGGAGAATACTCACCTTATGATATACATCTAGGAAACTATGGCCAGGCTTCAGATAGGTGTCTGGTCCCAAAACACAACGGATATGAAGAGTGTGGCTACACTCTTGGCATCTGTAAAACCACATCTTTGCGTCCAATTCTCCCTCACATATCTCACACCAATAGGTGCCACTTGTGTTTTCTTCGCCATAGCAAAGGGTGAGCGGATGCTTGTCATGCTTGTATATTGCCACATCTGGTAGAGTTGCGCATCCTAGACAAAGGAAGGAATTGCATTCAATGCATTCCACCAAAGAAATATGGTAACCTTCTTCTTTGTGACACCTCATGCAGCTACCTTTGCGCAAAGTGAAATACAGGGGATGAGGATGGCTTTTGTGGTTAAAAGGCTCGGAAATTGAAGCACACCTTGCATCGATCTGGAAATAACAATACTCTTCACGGCATTTGTAGAAGAAACCAAGAGATTGATGGTTGCAAGCCCTACAATTGGAGGCGTATGATACTGGACGCATTAAAACGAGGTTGAGCGGGTGAACATGCAAGGGATGGTGTACCTTTAGAGAACGGCTTGCACATGCTTCGTGAAGAATGAAATTGCATTGCATACAACTGTAAAAAGGATCAGAAACGATAGGTAGGACGCAAGCTTGACAAAATTTGATGTCCTCCCGAATG